ATTTTTTTTTGTTTTTAAAATGCCGACTAATTTGTTATATTAGTTATGCAAAATTAAAACACAAGGGTCATGTCAACGTCATATATATTTACTCAAGTAAGCCCTTTCAGGAAAAAGATGTTTTGCACTTATTACATTAATTGGCTTTATAATTATTACATGTACGAGTTAATAGTCTTTTTATTCCCTTTTCTCAATATTCCGAAATTTTATAAATTTTTATTGGACAAGTTCTTAAGAATTAAATTTTGTTGTTTTTGTGCTTGTACAATAAAATTTATGAACACTTTATTCCTACCCTTCGTTTCTTTCTGGGTAAGAGCATAAGAATTTATTCATTGATATTCATTAAAGGATTTTTTTTTTTTTTTTTTTTTTTTTTTTTTTTTTTTTTTTTAATTAAAGAACAAGGTATCGTTTCAATACAAATCTGGCGATATATATATATTTTTTTTAATAAATATGAAAGTGATGTAAGAAATTAAAACTCATGCTTTCTTAATCGATGGAATTCCATTCAGTAAGAACGTACAATTCTTTTTTCTCATATGACCTCCTGTATGCTAATTTTGAGCTCATGAACCTGTGCATCTCCCGTGTTTTCTTAAAAAGTTCCAGAATACTTCAATTCAGTGGAATTTTCTCTCAGATAATATAGAGCAAATGCATTGCCCACAAAGATTTTGAGAAATGTGACTTTTCCAAGGATTTTACACGATATATCCAAAAACAGAAGTGGGCGACGACTGTGGACAAGGAAAATCACCCCAAAAATTAGTCATTGTGAAGTATTTTTCTGTTAAAACCTTAGAAATGTACCAAATTAATGAAGTCAAATTTCCAGAATGCCCTCCTTCATGATTTATCACGTTCATATACTTAATTCATATTAAAGCCAATTCCAAAAGTTTTTGAAAACATTACATTTTTAAGGCACAATAAATTCGAAACCGTTCGTTCCTTCCCCCCCCCCTTTTTTTTAAATACACTTTTTTGTGCATACGTAATTGATCTCACGAGTTTTTTTTTTAAAAATCTCATTTGTTAAAAAAAATATATATTTTGGGTATTTATGTTGAAATAAAACCATGTCATTTTCTTTATTATAAGGACTTTCATGAATGCGGTTGTAAAATAAACTTCATTAAATTTATTCCACTTTCTGTTTTAGGAAAAAAAAGAAAACAAGGATAGTCCAGTTAACAGGATTATACATACGTCCTTCTGCCAAAGAGGTGAATTTTTAAAATATATTTAATCGTATGAGGCAGTAGTTTAAGTGAAAATGTTTAACCTTAATATGCTGATTTATTAGTCCCCTACCGATGAAACCGGAGGGGACTATAGGTTTCCTCCGAGTCTGTCCGTCCGTCTGTCTGTCCGTCTAGCTGTCCCTCTGTCTGTCTGTCAGTCTGTCCCACTCGGTTTTCTTTTTTTTTTCCTAAACGTTTGCAGATATTGAGCTGATTTTTGGTATGTGGGTGTATCTTGATGAGTTACAGATCGTTTCATTCCGCTTCAATGATTTTTGAAGTACGACCTTTTCAAAGTGTCAGAGTTTTCCGCAATTTTTTTCATAAACGCTTGCAGATATTGAGCTGAGTTTTGGTATGTGACTTTACCTTGATGATTAATAGATCAAGTTTGCATTTTGTTCTGCTTCATTGATTTTTGACGGAATTATGGCATTTTTTAATTTTTAACGAGAACCAGATTACACTTGTCGGTAGGGGACTAGTATGGCTAATGCAATACTCTCAGAATGCTTGTTCATTCAAACGTCATCATAATCTTCACGAGTCCTAAAGTGAGATTTTTTTGCAATTGCATCGAAGAAAGCTTCTAATTCAGAAGTAAGTCAATTTATTATACTTTCATGTTAAATACTAAAATCTGATTGGTTTAGACGGATTTAACAATCCGTAATGTTACCCTCAGCATTAGCAACACACTTGACAACGGGTAACATCACGAAAATGTCACATGCGTTCAAATGATGCGCGTACGGTTCACCGTAGAATTCTCAAAACGTCGGTTGTGCGTTTAAAAGCCGAATAAACGACGTCAATAAAAGTTTGCGTCCGATGTAGCTTACTTGAAAACAACAAACGACAGACGAAACATCCTTGCGAGTGCAAACTTTAGATGATAAAGGACTTTTTGAGTAGCAAACAAACAATAAAGAGGTTGGTAAATCTTTTCCGAAGCTTTCTTACTGAAAAAAAAAAATAGAAGTGGTTAGTGTGAAAGCTTTCTAAGCGTGAACTTAACGACGATCTCCGAATTTTTTATATGACATCCGAAATCAATAAGACATTCAGTATAATAAAATAAATAGTGCACGTTTTTGAGGGTAACAGTTGAAATTGACATCCCTCCGTAAACCATTGTCAACCTCCGCTGACGCGTCGGTTGACAATGGTTTTCCCTGGGGTGTCAATTTCAACTGTTACCCTCAAAAACGTGCACTATTTATATAATAGTGCTCAAAAGTGTCTCCTTTGCATATTTTTTTGAATATTTTTCAATTCTTCAGTCTTTACCCTTTTCTCTGTATAGAAAACGGTTTGAATTTATTTTAATCTAAAGATGCTGACTTAATGCTTAGAAAAAGAAGAAAACATTTTGTACTTTCTTGTCCAATTTAGTTTTCAGGGCCATGGAATATTCTCAAAATTATCTCGGATCAGTCTTCACTAAAAGAGGCATAAAAAGATCATATTCACAGCGTCATCTCATTTTGATTAGGATCAGATTGTCTGCTTGTCTTATTTTACATATGTCTCATTTCAAATATTTTTCCTCACCCTTACGTCATGTTCCTTCCAAACAGTGTATACGTTTATATATGAATAACCTGTCTCAGATATGCATGATTTAAATGAAATTGATGTATATAGCATGGTAGCCAAAAGTGTATTATCCTACCTACCTACCAATCCTCTTCCCAGTGGAGCATAAGGTCAACACAAGACCTCGTCAGTCAGCTCTCTTCTTGGCAATGGTCTCTGCCTCTCCCCAAGTCAGGTATACTACTTTAATATAGTAATATACTACTTTATCAATTAAAAACACACTTTTCCATGAGATTTTGTTTGATTTCAATAAATGCCAATGGAAATGGAGATTTTGTTAAAAATATGGTTACAAGCATTGATGTTTTTTTTTTCAATTTTCGATAGACGTTGTTGCTTTTCCTTTTTAAAATACATGTACCTACAGATATTTTTATAAATATTGTAAACTTAAGTTTATTTTTTGGTTGCTCGTCTCTATTTTGATTAAAAATATTTTTTTTCTCCTTTCAAAGCAAGACGTAAAACTGACTAATATTAGCTTATATACATCGAAATTAAGAACATCTCGCTACGGTGTGCATACTACTGTACATGTAGATATATCAAAAGTTGCTGCCTCTGTAGTTCTTAAGTTAAACTTTCAAGTGCAATGAATTCAAAGAATTAGCGATATCAGAGACAACAATTATCATATTATGTAAATGAAATCAGCAGTGATTATAGACAACAAACAGATCGCTTAAATAGAAGTCATTTAATTTTTATTTTGTACACATGCACCCTCAAAATTCTCTTCAGAAACTTGTGGTTAAGAAAATTAATTGGTGCTAAGCTTAATCTTTTTATTAACTACCGCAAGTATACATAAATTTCAGCTTTAGACATATACCCACACTCAGTTCGAAATGGTCCATGATACATGTACCTATCATAACAACAAAAATCACATACACTTATATTTACTGTGAAAGTTGTTTATGGGAAAAGGTGAAGTAGGGATAGGGCTAGGGGTGGAAGTGTGGGAGTTCAGCGGAAAAAAAATGTAGGGGTGGAAGTGTGGGAGTTCAGCGGAAAAAAATGTTCGGTTATGAATGATAAACAACAATACGTAAATGCTTAAAAAGTACATGTATATCTGAAATCAATGAATAAGTACAATAATGTCGCTAAAAAGGACAGAATAATATTTTTTTTTCAATATTTTGAAAATGTTTTATGATACAAATAGAGAAATGAATTTTATGAAGACATAAAAGTAGAGGTAATGTTTCGCATAAGATATTTTATCTTCAATCATAAGTTGTATTATCTAAGTTTTAAAGCTGCATAATGAGTCAAAACCATGTGTTTCTTTTAAGAAAATTGTATCACAAAACAAAAGATTTCTGTGAAATATGACTATAGCGAAGTTTTGACAACTAAACTGCACTGTAAAGCAAGAAAAAAAACTGCAAAATATAAGTGCCGGAAAAACAAATGTATCTTTCGCTTTGTTTTTATCGTCAATGTCAACAAAGTCAAGGTCACGCGTCCTTTATTTTTACCGTGAAACTTGTAAACAACATTGAATTGGAGCAAGCAGAAGTAAGGAATAAGTTATGATCATCTTTTTTGAAGATTGCATCAAAATTCTCAGTCATCCGAAATTTATCTCTATGGAATTGATTCAATTGAAACCATGGTAAATTCTTCAACTTTTCAGCGCATGCGTACAATAGAGAGGAAGAAGTGAAGCAATATTTTTGTGATGGGTTATACGAAGATTTTTTTTGCTTTTATTTTTCTCCATTAAATTAGATTTTTTAGGTTCTGAAACCTGTAATTTTCTGAAACCTAATATCTTCAAGAACTGAACAAAATTTGCATGTGTCATGCAAAAATTCTACTGTTGTCAATTTTCCCGTTTGTCCGTCACAGTGTTGCTTTAATGAAGAAAAGTATAAGCTATGGGTCTACCGATGTCAATTTACATGTCTTGATATGGATAGATTTCCAATTACATGTAATTAATAATCAATCATATATCTGTAAAGAATTTGTGTTTTAAAATTTTATTTCCTCTTGCTTCCTGATTTTTAAGTTTATTTTAATGCATTCGTATACTTATAATTAAAGCATTTGTGCAAAAACTTACCACTTTAATTTTCAACAGAATACCTTTGAAAGATGAAGAACAATAAAACCTTTAAAAAATTCTCTTTAATGAATTAACTTTACACGACGTGCGCAATGAAGACAATGATATGACATAAAAATATCGATGTGTATTCCATAAGAAAATGCTTGTGAATGTCCCTTTGGCCTTAAGCTGCTGCCGGACCGGTGACTTCCGGTTCCAAAATAACTAAATCGACAACAAAGACTTCCGGTTTCGGTACGTCGATTTTCGGCTCAAACTTTTGTGTTTGTACAGATGAGCTGGGCAAATCTCTTTCAGGTAAGTAGAAAGATAAAGTCATAAGGAAGAGAGCCATTGCATAGACGCCAGTGGTGAAGAAAAATGCGATATTGTTGTTCCCAGCAGTTCGACATATCATCTCTATAAATATAATGATCAGGAATATAATGAATTGAAAACAAAATGGGCAAAAAATACTAAACTTTAACTATATTGGAGTGAATAGTAAGTTTTCATTTTGAATGGTGAAAATCAATAACGTACAATAATTATCCTGATAAAGTGGATAAGCCGTGGTATGGATTTTTCTTATTATCTGAGTTATTAGCAACACTAATTAAAATTCTATGAAATCTTTGTTATGTTAAACATGTCTGATCCCTAACAAAAATGTGCTATAGTTAAGAATAGTGTACAATATTTAACTGTAATAAATACTTTGATTTACTATGAAACTTTACTCTAGAACTTGTTTTGAAAATACGTTCTATTTCCACTATGGAAGAGTTATTCTTCTTAGTGCGCTCTTTTGTGAAAAAGTCGGAAAATGTACAAATCTCGCGGGATTTCTGGGACAAACGTAACATAAACATGTAAACAATATATTGAATGTCGATGAACAATTCCTAAGAAAATGCCAATGGAATATTTTATTGTTGTGGACTTTATATTCATCAAGAGTAGGAATGACAATGATATCAATTTATATCTATTGTTGATCGTATGTATCTAGTTATCGTATGGTACATCGAAATACAATACACATGCCTCGGAAATGTCGGATTTTTTATTAATGGATAATAAATTTAGGGTTCTCGATCTCTTACATATGTCTATAAGTTCTTCTGTTCTTTAATTGGAATGACAAATACATTTAACATTTAAAATTGGATTGAGATGGGCATGTTTTGTATTATCCGCAACGCCATGCTGTCCCATTCAGACGACCAAATGCGCCTCTAATTTTGAAGAGTTCACTAATGGAAATAGAAAGTATTAAGAGCCCTAATATTCCTTGAAATACATATCAATGATGTGATTCTTGTAAAATAATATGTAAATTTACAAGTAATATCTACTTTCATATTGAAAAAAGTTGATTCCGGAAATTAAAAAAAAAAATAACGATAATTCATATAAAAAATACTTTGATAAACTATAGTAAAAACTTTGATTTACTTTAAAAGTGAAAAACTTTGATACTATAACAAACTATTATATAGTTAATTATAATTTACTATAGTAATTTTTTGTTAGCGATGCCTTAAGTTATTGCCTGATTTTAATAATCGTCCTTTTGTCTGTCTAGCTGTCCCTTCCTCTATATGTTTGTAAATAGATGTACTTAAAATTGTGTCTTCTACCATTTTTACCTGTTTACAATAAACCTTCGAAAAACTGTTGACTACAACAATGTAAAAATATGTCGTAATATCTGTCACCATAAAAATATGTCGTAATTTATGTCACCATAAGCGTAGCTGTTTTGTTAATCCAGTGTTCTTTTACAAACGTTTCCCCATGCAAAAATTCCCCTGGGAAGATTTGCTATGTGGCAAATTTTAACCCGGATTCTCTGCAAAACAGCAATTATTCTCCCGACGGAAAAAAAGCTACACTAAAAATCTTACCATTAAAAAAATAGTCATAAAGCAAAATTATATCACTTTATTGCATTTTTTGCGATAGAGTAGACCCCACAATTTTAGTTGTATCCGGAGTTCGCTTTGCTTACGTAACTTTACGATAGTCATTTCTACAATTGAAGAATTCTCTATGCCTTTTATGAATCACTTTCTCGGAAATCATTCTTTGTACAACCTGTTATAACTAACTTAAAAGACGAGCTCTTGTTGACATAACAAAAAATTGCAACATCTGTTATGCGCGTATTAATTAACCTGTAAAATTCAGATTATGATTAACCGTTGGAAATATCCAATATAATAAATTATGATAATAAAAAATCAGTTCAAGTCGTGACCATGCCCATTTAACAATACATGTAAAATTCAAACCGAAACTATAAAAGTAGGAAGGTCGGCTATGCGGAATTTTTTATATAACAGAACGTTCCATATTTGGAAAATTTACTTTTATTATATTGCAATTTTATACTGGATGTTCTTTGCCATGGGGGAAGTTTTGCTCTACAACACCTGATGCTGGCAAAGGGATGTAAATGACAGGAACACGCCATTTTATTATACTGTTTGTCAACTCGAAGAAACTTAAATAACAGTGCCAACGGACCATGCACTTATTCTGGTACAGCAATATGTCATATTGGGGAATACATCTGGCCTATTCAAATATATTCATAAATAATCTAAATTATTAAAAAAGAAAAATCTCGTTGAACTCAAGACCTACTGAGAAGCAAAAGACTCGTATTTATTACTACCAAATTGATTGCATATTAACGACCTAAAAATATTGTGGGTTTTCTAATTATCACTGTCTTCATATAAATTTCAAATTACACGAGGTAGAGCTACATGTATGTACATTATATTTACCGCCGGTATATAACTTAATAAAATAGAGTTTTGTTATTACCAGCTTCTATGCAAAGCCCCTTTCGTAAAACAGTGTATTTAAGAAATTGAGTTAACACTTTCTGTAATTCATAGTATTCTGAAAATAGAATATTTTTAAATTCTAAAGTGGCAATACCTGTAATTGGGATTCCAATTAAGGCTCCGATACCTTGCTGAAGAGCTGTTATAGATAAGCTACTAGGTAACCTGTCCACTCCCAACATTCCCATAAGTAATGTAGGTATCTCTGTGATGGTGATTCCTGTTGTAGAAAGAACATAAAAGTTTTAAGATCATCCTTTGAAAACAAAGGAAACGAAACACCCAACTTACTCGGACCGTCGGCTCCAGTGGAGGACTGTAAAATGAAATAAAGAATATTCATGGACTAGTATGGTTGGCGTATAATAAGAGGCTACTCACGTCTCGAGTTATAACCTATTAATTCATGTAACACAGATACATGAATTTCCACTCTGCTTTATGCCAGTTTAATTATTCATGGCATTCTTTGGAGGCTAGAAAAGAAACGGAATTATAATTGTAGGTACCTGAGGATGATTATTATGAAATTAATCTGACGTTTTTTCTTCGGCCGCACTGAAAAAGAGTCATATTAATTTTGGCATATACAAAAACTATTGACATGAATTTTATTCAACCATTTCAAAGAGGTTGAAAAAGTTCTGTTTTGGCATATTTTAGATTATTGAAGAAATCATCAAAATAATATTTATTTTTGGTTTCAATCACAAAATATGTTTCCCTTCCCAACAGTTGTTTTACTTGAGGGATTGCATCAAAGACAATGGAAAGTAAATTTTAGAACTTTTCTACGTTACCTGAGCTTGCACCAAGCACCACTGAACAGACCAATATTAAAGGGAAGGAGGACGAAATGGCAACCGGAAGTGTGGACAGGGTAGCCAGGAATACAGCACCAAGATATGCTCGGGTACGAACACACGGAAACCTCGCCGAGAACCATCCGAATGTTATTCGTGCTACTGAACTTCCTACTCCAAGTGATGTTATGAAAAGAGCAGACGACTGCTCCGAGAAGCCTTCCTCTTCTCCTTTGATTGGCAAGTAAGTGAAAGGCACGGCATACCCAATGTTGAATAAAAGGTGTGCCGTTACAAATAAAACAAACTTATGCGATTTGAAAAGGTTAAAGTCAAAAAGTTCTGCAGTGGAACATTTCTTTTCCGATGCCTTTTCTGTGAAAGAACATTTTAAATATATCAAAAATAAATAAATAAATAAAAAAAAGCAGAAGCTTTTTTGAAAAGTCTATGCACATTTTGTACAAGTAACATTTATCTGTTTAATAAACTATTTGAACAAAATTAACCCCTTTTAGATAACCCCCTATAGTGGTTTTAGATATGACTTCCAGTGTTTAATATTTGGATTAATTCCGTGGTTGTAATAAGTTTTTGATGACTCTGAGGTCGCAAATCTTTGTACCTACTTTGCAACTGAAATTTGGTCGGTCGGAGTAGCAAGGAAACTACGATGGTATTCAAGCAAATGGCCGAACACAGAAGAAAGGCTCCCTTAACGCCAAAGGTTGCGTGCAGGTAAACAAAAAATGGCGGGAATCCTATCATACCGACACCAGCACCAGATAGACAAATTCCCATAGCAAGAGGAAACTTCTGCACAAAATATCCTTTGAGTAAGATTGTGGAGGAGAATTCGGCTAAATTCATGCCGATTCCTGCAAAATACATGAAAAATTATAACCTACATAGATTTAATTATGTCACATATAGACCGTTTTGAAGTTACGTGTTTTCCTTTTTTAACATTAAAAAAGAAACAAATACCCACAGGAACATACCAGGAATAACTCCAAGACACAAAATCAACACCGGAACTGACGAAGTAAAGGCTGCACAGAAGAATCCCAGACTGATAAATAGATTTCCGATTATAACCAGTATTCTACAGGATACCAGCTGCGTCAGGACGGACACAAATGGTGCTGGAACGAAGACAATCTTTATAAAGAAAATCTTAATTTTCGTAGAATGGTAAACGCACAACTGATATATAAACGTTTAGTTTTTTTTCATTACACACGAGTAAATTCTAGTATTTTCAATTTTCTCTGAGTATATGAAATGTATAATCAACGGAGCTGTTTATGCCAAAATACGTTTATAGCAAGGCATAAAAGATATTTCTATGACACAGGTACAGAGTTTCCCCCGCGTTCACTTCTTTTCTTGTAAGAATATATTTTCATGTAGCTGGGTAACAGACAACGAAATTGGTAGACTTTAAGTCACCCGAGTTCCACTTGTGACATTGCTTTTCGGTTTTTGTCCATCGTCAATAAACTTTGAAGGAAGAAACAAATTCCAAAATTCAATTTATCTTAAAAGTATTTTTCTTCGGACCTGACCATCTAGTATACAGTCAGGTGATACAATGTGATAGTGATCGGTGGTTCTTCTACTAAAATTTTGAAAATAACATCCTCTGGATCCAGAATTTCGAAACATTAGATAATATGAACTTCAGGTTTTGGAGTGTTCAAACAATGATTCTTTTAAAAGCAAATTAAATATTTAAAGCAAATATTCATATGTACACAAATAGCATAGGTATTTTATGTATTTAATATGATAAAAAGCAGAAAACCCATAAACGCAACAGGGAAAAATTCGTGTTTGCTTCGTCAAGAGCTTAGAGTTTAAAACACTTTGAAAAATCAGGATACTCAAGTATTTACTCAACAAAGTTAATTAAATGTACATAGCTTAGAATATTGCATGTTTATCTTAGAATTAAATAAAGAGTTCCATAAAAGAGGTTTCGTAGAGATTTTTCCATATATGAATTAAAACTTTGTTTCGGTCAATCGAGCTTGAACTACAACGTCTTGCTAAGTTCTTGTAGTCATACTACCTGAGAGCATACAGAGTCCGACCATCAAAGAACCAATCCAACCGATCACCGCCAGGTCAGCAGACGTCGACTTGACCAGTTCAGTGTGAATTATTCCAGTTGTCCCTTGTATTCCGACATGGATTACGTAGATAAAAAACACAGCTACTACTACTATCCACCCATATCCGCCCTCTGATCTGCTTATCTGCGCTAACATCACTCAGCAGACGATGTAGATGTATATGTCTTTTTAAAATATCCTGCGCATATATACTATGCATATCGTGCTGTGAATATATTTTAGGAATTATCATTGTTTAAAAGGTAGTGAGTTTGCATTTATCGACCGAGTTCAACGACTTATTTGACCATCCTAGGCATTGAAAAGACAAGAGGTCCATGAGCCACAACGCTTACCTGAGTATCTATACTGTGGCCCCTTTTGTTAATCAGCAGATTCTTTTTCCTATATATTCTCATGTAAAATTTCATCACTCTTTATAGTCCCAGCTTATTCCCGGAGGTAATGATTTGAACAAACTTGAATCTACACTATCTGTTGTTTTTTTTTTTAATAAATATGACTATTCAGGACTTTCCTGTTCCTGGGAAAAAGATTTTTAAAGATTTTTCTATGTTACACTTTGATCATCCATTGTGGCTACACCCTCCCCACAGGGGTCATGATTTGAACAAACCTGAATATAGACTACCTTTGGATGCTTACCTATAAATATGACTGATCATGGCTTTGGTGTTCTTCATCAGAAGATGTTTTAAAGATTTCTTCTAAGTATTCTATGGAAAACTTTGATCGCCCATAGTGGCCACACCCTACCCCCGGGGATCATGATTTGAACAAACTTTAATCTACACAACCTGAAGATGCTTCTATATGAATATGACTGTTCATGGCCACACCCTACCCCCAGAGGTCATGATTTGAACAAACTAAAACCAACGCTGCCTATGGATGTCTTCATATAAATATGACTGATCTTGGCTTTGGTGTTCTTCAGAAGAGGATTTTAAATTTTTTTTTTACCATATATACCCATGTACAACTTTGATCGCCCGTAATTGCCACAACCTACCCCCGGGGGTCATAATTTGAATAAATTTGAATCTGCACTAATGTCAGGAAGCTTTCAAATAATTTTCATCTTTTCTGGCCCAGTGGTTCCTGGTAAGAAGATTTTTAAATGACTGCGCCCATTTTTTTTTTACCTTTTCTTAATTATCTCCCCTTGGAAGACTGTGTGGTCCTTCATTTGAATAAACTTGAATCCCCTTCACCAAAGGATACTCTGTGCTAAGTTTAGTTGAAATTGGCCCAGTGGTGAAGAAGACAAAATTGTAAAAAGTTAACGACGACAGCGACAGACAACTATGGAGGGTAAGCGTGTTCAAAAATCCAGACTTGTAAGTTTGTAAATCCAAACATGTAAGTTTGTAAATCCAAACTTGTAATCGTATCAGTTTCATAGTCTACATATGTAAGTAGGTAATTCCGACATCCTAACATGTGGTTCCGAACATACAACTGTGTTAACTTTGAGTATATACTATGAATGTGTGTATTTTTGATGTTGTAAACTTCGCGCTCTGAAGAAAACACAAAGACAATTGACAAGTCTACAAATGTAAAGTCTACATGATTGTCGAATTTAGATAATGAGAAACTATGGAGGGGCATCAGTGCCACATTTTATCCTCTTTTTTTTATTATAACTTCTTCTTCCAACTGAAATAAATTATTTAGATTTTATTTCTTTTTTTTATTCTAACTTCCAATTTTATATTAATATTTTCATTTGAATTTCTTATTTAATTTTAATTCTAACTTTTTGTTTAATATATGTTCCAATTTTATTTGCCAGTATGTACTATACCAATAAAATAAGGAGCAATTTCTGATTGTGCCCCCTCAATAATTTTGTCGGTATATAAATACATAAGAAAAGAAATAAGGCTAATTTATCGTTGTGCCCCCTCAACAGGAATGTCTCATTTTGGTTGGGGGGGGGGGAGAGAAGCTTATCAAAAAATTTTTGTTTTGTGCCCACTGCTCCACCCCCACCCAAAGAAAATGCTTCCTTCGGGCCTGAAAACGAGAGAAAACAAGCAAGAATGATATCATATGGTTTTTAAAGTAAAAAAATATGTTTCTACGCTTCGTAGCTAGATTGTTCGCCAAGATCTCTGTGTACTTATAGATAAGAGGTCGTAGCGCCCCTTTTCGTTTAAATTTTATTCGGATTTCTTAGTTTAACTCTGTAAGTTCTACTTTCTAAAGCAAACTATCGATGTTACCAGAGGCGTAGTCACAAACTTAAAATTGGGGGGGGGGGGGGCTTAAATCCAAGAAAGATGTAAAACGTGTAATATAAAGATATTAGCAATTTCACTTTGAGGGGGCACAACCATACATTCCTTGACAAGCAAAAAAAAAAAAAAAAAAAAAGGGCATCAGACGTTATTATTGAGGAAGCACAATCATATAGTCGCTATGTTTTCTATAGTATTCTATATATCGGCAAAATTATTAGGGGGCATGCTCCCCCCCCCCCCCCCGATTCCTACGGCCAACGGCCATGATTAAGATGTAAAACATGTAACATCAAGCCCCTGTCTAAGCTAGTTGAATGAGAGGACTTCAAATAATGCACTTAAAGTTGATTGACATTCATCATAGGTATACCGAAATCAGAATCTCCAATACTGCAGCTATCTTGTAGAAATTACTAATTTTGATGAGATTCGGATTTGCTAGGATATATTCTAAAGTATATTACATTACTATTACTTCAAGAGAAATGCTTACTCAGTTGTTACTGAAAATAAAATAAATTTGCCATAAAATGAGGTTTAATATAATTTCAACATAGCTGTGATTTTGTTCTACATTAAGTGGGGGGGGGGCAGACATACTCTTGCCCCCCCCCCATATCTGAAAGTGGGGAGGGGGCTAGTGCCCTCGCTGCCCCCCCCCCCGTGACTTCGCCCCTGGTTGTTACCAAAAAAAGTATCAAGTTACGTAAAGTGAAACAGAATTGAGATAATTTTAAGATAGAATCAAAATACGAAAGGAATCAAAATTGCCATAATAAAATAAAATAAAACTGGAAAATATATCCCAGTCCCAAAAAAAAAAAAAAAAAATCCAACCCAGAAATTTCTTGACAAGCAAAAAAAAAAAGTAAACTCCTTTCCCAAGCATGAAAAACCTATTTCGCGAGCGCTCGCTTGTGTGTGTGTGTGTTGGGGGAGGGGTGGGGGGGGGGGGAGTCGTCAACTTAACACAGATCAGCGTTTTCGAGGGGTGTCCAAGGTCACTTTTAGTTCGTTTAGTAATTAATAAGTCTGCAAATTTCAGGGGGAGGGGGGGGGGGCGGACCCCCTTGTAGATCCGCGCCTTCAAGAAGTAAGAATTAAAATAAGAAATAAAAAACGAAGAATTTAATTTGGAAAACAAAAAGTTAGAATAAAAAAAAGAAAATAAGAACATTTAAAAATAATTGTGGCACTGATGCCCCTCCATAATTTCTCATTATGTAAATTCGACAATCATGTAGACTTTACATTTGTAGACTTGTCAATTGTCTTTGTGTTTTATTCAGAGCGCGGAAATATAAATTCCGGAAAACCATGTTTACAACATAAAAAAAAAAAACACACACACATTCATAGTATAAATTCAAAGTCAACACAGTTGTATGTTCGAAACTACATGCTAGGATGTCGGAATTACCTAATTACATATGTAGCCTTTGAAACTGATACGATTACAAGTTTGGATTTACAAACTTACAATTTTGGATTTACAAACTTACAAGTCTGGATTTTTGAACACGATTACCCTCCATAGACAACGGGCAAATTTTTATCAGAAAAGCTCACTTTAGCCTTCGGCACAGGTGAGCAAAAAAATACGCAATACCTTTTATCTAACTTTAAGTTCTGTATAAGTGTATATTTTTAGATACTGTTTCAGGTTTACCGAAATAAGATCAAAATTTTATAAGGAGTACAAATAGCTGAACAATAGCTAGTCAGTATATAAAATATTATTTACTGAAATAGACTTTATTAATTGTTACAACTGTTTATTTCAAAAAGTAACGAAGGATATTGCTCTTATCATAAATACAGACATAGAACAAAATATATTTACCGCTTTAGTTTTCCTGGTTTTATTCAAACCTGAGTACGAATGCACAGCAGTGATCTTTTAAACTCATTCATGACTATGAGTGCCTCCATTAAACTGTTAATTTGCTGCTAAGATGCAACATCTTCTATCATACCCGATTTATCATACATTTTTGTACTACAACTCTACAAAAGCATGTATGCCTCTAATGAGCTTCTTTGTTTTGTATTGTTTTGTATCTATTCTAGGTTTTTTTATCTATAGAATTTGTAATTTTGTGTGAAAAGAAAATTCATACTTTCTCTATTCAATTAAAAATTGACTCTGATAACATGTTTACATAGCAAATCAGTTATTATGTTTTGCGTATTTATGAAATATTTTAAATGTTGATATCAGTATCTAACACCGGAAAGTATAATTTATCTGTGCATATTGCAACAGTAAATGATTTAAAAAATTCATAGATGTCCATAACATCAAGCTGCCCCTGGTCTGTTGATTTCCAGATCCAATAACGTGATTTTGAACTCGAACTTTTGATCTTCAGTTTTTGTTAAAGCTTTATCAGGCAAGTAAAAGGACAAGACCATAAGGATAAAAGCCATCGCATACATGATAGAGGTGAAGAAAAAGGCAACATTGTTGTCCCCAGCAATCCGACATATCATCTCTGAAAGTGCAAAGAAAATTTTATTGTCCCATTATGGAATCACCACCAGCAACAAATCACTTCAATGTTTGTTTAGCGAACTTTTCACTCATATGGAGACGCCACCACTTGCTGGTGGAGGGCTGCAAATTTTTAGACCTTTACTCGGCACTCAGGGCCATTGAGCAATGAGGGATCTTTTTCTTGCCAGCACCTACTGCGACCTTGGACCTCGGTTTATACGGTCTCATTCGAATGACCGGTCTGTACGTCCCGCAGTGGGATTCGAACCCGCGATGCACATGTAAGGTTCAACAGCAAAGGCTCTAACCACTGCGCCACGTGGGCAACAATGAAACTTGGCAATAAGCCTAGACGGTCATTAAAGGAAATAAAGGGTTTAACCAAAAAAGAATATTTTTTTGTAGGAACAATGCGTTTTAAATATTTGAGAAACTTATCCCGCATGGGATCTGCAACCCGGACTCAATGGATTTAAATAGCTCAATTACAGAAATGGGCTAACTACATTTTTATCATGCAAAGCAATATGTTTTTCATAAAGTTGGTCTCAAGATCATATAATTTAGAACAGTCTTATTAAGTTTAATTTAAATTTTAATCTGTGCAAAGTTTCTATTAATATTGAAAATATCATCATGAATTTGTATTTTAATATTTTACAAACATGAACCTTCCAGCATTTTGGTCTTGGCCGGGGGGTACGGGTGGGTGTCTGAACAAGTTCTTTTTAATATAAAACATTTTCAATGTATGACCAACTTAGTTCCACCCTGGAACCAGGGGACATGATTTCAAATTAAAACAAATTATTGCATATTATGATTGTAAAAAAAAATTAGCCATCTACGAGATGTTCAGAAATTAATCATGCAAAATTATTACTAAACAACGTTCACTTAATGAACAATTAAACTAAGTAAATACATGAAACTAATAGTTGTTCTTAACTCTTGACTGATATATATTTCAGAGAAGCTGGAATTAAGTAGAGGCTGCACGACAATGATGTAAGGAAACTGAGAGTTAAGTAGGTCACCTAAGTGACTCACCTCAATTTTGATTATCTCAAATTATATTCTGAAAGGACTTGCTCATAAACACCCAAATTTAGTCAAATCAATTTTCAGACCTGTTTACCCAAATTGTTGTCTCTCAGTATTTTTCATTAGATTTGTCAGTGAGATTTGGCATTTGCCCGTAAGATTTCACTTTTCGTCGACTGTACATATATTACTAGAAAACAACTGCATTTCTGATTACCAAAACATGGTTTAATAACAAAGCAAATCGTCATACACTGCTCTCTTTTGAGTGATTTCTGTCATTTTTTTAAACCACCGCGTTTTGGGAACTTAAATGTTTGAAAATTTTCTCTTCTTTAGAAACAGATAACGAAAACTAATTGCTAAAATTCATATGAACGGATTTCCGTATTTTCGTTATAGCAAAACGTAAGACGTATTTTGGACTGAAAATCCGTACAAAATACGGTGAAATCGTAAGAGTAAACAGGTCTGAATTTTTTTATTCATCCGATCATTACATGAATTATATTTTTTTCATACATAAAAAGAAAGTTTTATTTACAAGGTAAAAGAGGCGTGAATATACTTGAAACAGGTAACATTTATACGTAATCAAGGAAATTGCGAAACATTTTAAAGTTTAGTATTCAATTATTTTACCTGCAAGTGGAATTCCTATAAGGGACCCGATTCCCTGCTGCATAGCTGCTATAGAAAGACTGCTAGGAAACCTGTCCACTCCCAACATCCCAAGAAGTACTGAAGGGATTTCTGTATGGGTGATTCCTGAAAAGGAATGCAATAGGTATTCGGATTTTAGTCTACCTGTAAGGAACCCTACTCCCAGAAGCCCCCCCCCCCCCCCCCCCGAAAGAAAAAAAAAAAAAATTTCAGCCAAAAATGATATAAAATAAGAAATAAATATTGTACTGAATGTATCCATAGGGCCAGACACTTTCAATTCTGAAAAGAAAAAAAAAACAATAAAGAGGCAAGAGGCAAAAACAGAGGAGGTGACGGAGTGAGATGGTATGAACGGAACAGATCAAGAACAAATAATCAGGAAAGTATTTACTCCAGCTTTTTCCTTTTACATACTTCATAAAATACAGAAAAAGTAAAGAATCTACGACTAAACATGTTTTCCACTGAATAGCTATGAACAACTTAAATTTTCATCAAAACAACTTATTTATAACATAAGTTTTTTCCCCAATAAACACTAAGCTTGCCTCAGCAGTAAAAATTTTCTTGCGCTCATACAATTATTATTAGCTGAAATAATGGAGCCTTATACAGTTTTTCTTATACATGTATGATGTATTTGGGAGAGGGATTAAATTCCATACGGTAACCGTAATGGTAGTGCAAAAATATTTTTTCCTACGACTTCAGGCGAAATAAATTTTGAATTTTTTTTAATGAAACTTTCTTCAAATAAGATGATGATGATATACATGATCAACATAGTCGCCCTTTAAACGGTAAATAAAATCAGCATTAATTTAATGTTCATGTTTTTCAATCGTCGTCTCCAGCTGCCATGACAGATTTTCGCGTGAATGCTTGATATTTAGGTTTGCTTGTTACAGAAAATATCGATGTAGATAAATGATATTGCCGTATCAGCAAAAACATCGATAAATAAATGCATTCGAGAAGGATTTTTTTAAAAAAATATACGTTGATATTTAAGAAATCTCTGTCTAGTTTGTTGGGTGTCCAAGGCATTAACAACAGTTGGAAACATAGGATAGTTTGCCTAAATTATCCGACTTTTCCTGTTGTCGTTAATGTCCCTGGTACCCAACAAACAAGAAAGCGGTTTCTTATGTATACATATATATATGAAAAAATGTAATTACATGTATAAATCAAAAATGCTTTCTAATCGAATTGGAATAGACGAAGCATTCCATGTTAATTTCCATAGTCCACTGACGTCAGACACAATGACAAGCATTTTTGGCACATGACCATAAGAGAAATTTACATGCAGTTGCAAATATTAAGCAATATTTACATTTCCAAATTTTTTTCCTTCAGATTCTTTGCAAATTAGAAAAAGTTCATGTACTCATGAACTACCGTGGGATGAGTAAGAATATTTCCATTGTGATGTGACTGAAGTCAAAAAATAGTGCAAACTTTTTTTTCAAAAATGATCATTGGATGACAAAAATATGTGGCAAGTTATCAGAAAAATAATGTAAATATAAGAGATAAATTTAATTTTTGAGAATTCATGAGGTACATGAACTACAACACTTCACGCCTGCATATTTATCATGAAGCGTTAATGTGTGAAACACTCAAAAATTAAATTCATCTCTTAAATTAACACACTTAACTTACAAAGAGTTATTGTAGAGAAAATGGTTGGAAATGTAAATATTTATGAAATAAGGGATCCCTGTATTCAGTTACAAGATCAGTCCCCTCATCCCAAAATAAAGCAATCAAGGTCAGTACACATGGCGGACAATTCAAGTTTTGACGTGGACATTAAAAAAAAATCCAATATATGGACAAGTTTATAATTTCTTATAATCGTGTTATTTTTGGAAATAAATTAGGGAAAAAAGATATAATTTCCTTGTTACTGAGATTTCATAAGAACTGAGTTCGGTATGAACGAATTTTACTGTATTTACATAGATGTCATTTCTTTTCAGATTCTATTGAACAAAATTAAGAGTCACGTCACTATGAGCCATACCCAGTGAGGTACCGTATAATTATATTGAAATCATATTGCCCCTTACTTGTCAAAAGTATGAAAATAGACAGTTTGTTAAAATTTCTGTGCATTTCAATTAAATAAAAATATGGTTGAAAAAATGCTTTTCAGTTTACCTGAACATGCGCCAAACACCGCTGAACAAGCGATGATTATTGGATAGGAGCGAGAGAATGCCACCGGAAGTAACGTCAGGATCGCTGTGAACACAACACCAAGATATGCTCGAGTCCGAAGTGCAGGAAACTTCGTCGAGAACCATCCGAATGCTATTCTTGCTATTGAACTTCCGGCTCCCAAGGACGTTATGAATAGGGCAGACGACTGCTCCGAGAAGCCCTCCTCCTCTCCTTTGATTGGCAAGTATGTGAAAGGAGCGGCATAACCAGTGTTGAACAGAAGATGAGCCGTCACAAACAAAACAAAGTTATGCGATTTAAAAAGGCTAAAGTCAAATAGTTCTGTTATTAAAAATCTCTTTTCCGATCGTTTTTCTATAAAAGAACGTTGAATAATTTTATCAATGCCAGCTGACTTAAACATACTGTGGAATCATCATTGCTTATTGGCGACCAATGTTCGTGGTTTTCGTGGGTCACCCTTACAAACGAATTTACATCTTCACGAACAATTTTTCTGTCAAGGTGTTGATTCATTTCATTTGTATGAAAATACATGAAATAACGACCCCACGAACAATAAGATTTGCTTGCCCACGAACATTGACTGCTCTGGAATTTTACAAATATGGACTGACTCTAACAGACTTAAAGAGACATAATGAGTCAAAATCATGTTTCTTTTATGACATTTGTATCATAAAATAAAAGATTAAAAAAATACAAGTTGCGGTCCTTAAAAAAGAACTGCAATACGTGCACCATATGCATGCGTTTCTAACAAAAATCCGGAGAAAAGTTTCTTAGTTGTATTAAAACTGTATATATATTATAGATTTCTTTTATCTTGGTCTGAAAGACTGAAACATTTTTCAATAATCATGAAGTCTTATTGCATATTAAGCTGTAATAAAAAATAACAACACGGCCTTAATATTAAATTGTTGATCTTGGTATCTGTTATTATAAATCAGCCTTGACCATTAACCTCAAAATTAAAAAAAAAAGGTTACTCCTCGCTTCATTTTATCATTCTCTGTAAATTGTTTGACCATGCTTTTCCCATTTTAATTGGTAAAACAATTATATACTATACAGCATACATTTTTATACTAGAACAAGAATATTAATACATGTATATTTATTTACTATTAAGATACATTTGAATGAGAGGAGATTTTGAGCCAGTCCTTACCAATTAATACTATAGTAAACTTTAGTTAACTACAGTTAACTATAGTATCAAAGCAAAAACTTTGAAACTTTGATTTAATTTAGTAAAAACTTTGAAACTTTGATTAACTATAGTGAAAACTTAAAAACTTTGATTAACTTTAGTAAAACTTTGCAAATTTGATCTACCATGGTGAAAACTTCGAAATTTTGATTCACTAATGTGAAAACTTTGAATAACTATACACCAGTGGAATTAGGTTTTGGAAACCCACTCTTGACATTTTATGAAATTCATGGTCAAAATTCATAAAAGCTTCTGTGAACTTTTTTATAACCCCCCCCCCCCCAACAAAAATTGAAGTACAAAGAAATGAATTTTAATGTGAGGTTGTCTCTTGCGCCGATAGATAAGCAACATTTATTCAGATGTTTTAAAGTTCATGCTGATGTAGCATAATTTTTTTTTATGAAGAAAGGAAAATAAGATATTTAAAAAATGAAATTCGAGTCATTTAGAACCAAAATACCTGCTCAATCGACTTTAAAAAACATGTATTTTCTTAATTTTTAAATGTAAATATTGCATTTCAATTAACTATTTTGTAAATCCAAATTCTAATTTAAGATCTACAACAACTCTCACCCCCCCCCCTTCAAAAAAAACAAAACAACCCCCCCCAAAAAAAAACAAACAAACAAACAAAACAAAAACAAAACAAAAAAAAAAAACAACAAAAAAAGGCAAAATAAGCAATAAATTATTAAAATACTTTAAGAGGATGATAAACTACAGTGAAAACTTTGGAACTTTGATTTACTTTAGTAAACTGTGATAAACTATAGTTTACTATAGTATTTTTTGTTAAGGAGTATATGCTAATAAATATATACCTAAGGTATTCAGAATTATTGTTATCACATGGCATCAATGCGTTAAGTTGATCACGTAAAATAGCGCGAATTGTCTTTGTGAATGTGACGAGTTGTCCCGATAGGAGTTTCATCCGGTTTCACCTTGCATTTATACAGTGTTTTTTCTGCGTGGACCTCAGGGTCCACACAATGAGTATAGCGGAATTTTGAAAAACTGCACTATAAAGCATGCAAAGGGAGGAAAAACAAAGGTTGTATCTGCTGCATCGTTGCTAACGTGTATTTCAAGATCACGCGACTTTTTATGTATAGGGGAAATGCCGGAAACTGTGCATTCTTTGAGAGCAAAAAACTGAACAAGAATCGTAAGCCCGATATTATTTTTTTCTCTCAAAGAACACAGTTTAAGTACTTTCCCCTAGTTAAAACACGATTTTTGAGAATCAACAACCATCCCCTCCATTCCCCGCGCAAAAAATGAAGAAAACTGGTTTTGCATTCGGAATCAATGATGGTACCATATACATATGTAGGCAATATTAAGTTCATTGTTTATTGAATGGATAGTCACATGTATGTAGAGAGATGTAAAGCCTTTTGTTGAATAGCAATAATTATTATGTCCCATTTTGTCTGAAAATGGACAGTTGCAGATACACAATTATATGTTATTCAAAATCAGTTTGTCGTTTGTTTTGGAGAGGTAAATTTGTCTTTCTCCGAGGAAGAGAGTAAAATTTGGACAGAATCAAATTATGTCTCTGTATCTCTTTAAGATAAAAAGTTAAATATTTTTATTTTTAAAATAAAATGTTTGTACTTACTTCGAGTTTGAAATTTGCTTGGTTTGGATAAGCAGGAAAATACGACACAATTCAAACAAATGCCTGAACATAAAAGGAAGGATCCCTTTAATCCAAAAGTTGTGTGTAAGTAAACATAAAATGGCGGGAAACTTATCATACCCACACCAGCGCCAGCCAGGCAAATTCCCCAAGCAAGGGACATTTTTTGCACAAAATATCCTTTCAAAATTATTGTTGATGAAAACATCACTAAATTCATACCAATACCTGCAAAAACGATTAATTTTATAAACCGCTATTTAAATTAGCAATTATAAAATCTGAAAAGCGAGTTTACATAGAAACTACAGGCACTCTTTGCAGATACAGTAGAACCTGCTGAAAACGAAGTCAGATAAAAAGAAAGGTCTGTATAAAGGAAGTATTCATTTTAACACTTTCTTGTGTAGATATGAAGAATTTCGATTATTCTTAAAAAAGAACATTACATATCCCCAGGACTTCCTTTAAAGCAAGTTTAACTAATATACAAAATTTTTATTTCATTATCAACATTATAACTTACCTGGAAGAATCCCCAGGCACAAAATCAGCACCGGAACTGAAGAGATAAAGGCTGCGCAGAGGAACCCCACACTAATCAATATATTTCCGGTTATAATTAGTAACCTGCAAGGTACCAGTTCCGTTAGGATGGACACAAGTGGTGCTGAAATGGAAATCAAGTAATTCTAAACGAGAACACCTCCACATAAGTCTAAACAACAAAATGAATAAATCGTGAACAAATTATTCTTACGAAAGTAAGACAATATTACATAAGTTATACTAATTACCCTTAAAAAAATTTACTATAGGTAACTATAGTTTACTATTATAATTGCTTTGAAGTGCAAAAACTAGCACTTTCCCATATAATCCTATACTAAATGTACCTGTATTTTGAGAGGGTCCCTGATAAATAAACAGACAATAGATTTTCCCTAAACTTCGTTTGCACACTGAAGTCAATGTCTGTTACATATGATATAAATTTATAGAGTTTTTCTATTGTAGTTTTCACACAGTAAACCCCCACTTGTCTCCCTGAACTGTGGCTTGGATGGATTATTAGTACAAGGTTACGTTTTTCCTTAATCCGAAGAGTGGCTTGAAAATAATTATACCAAGTGCACTTTATCAATGATACAAAAAGTCATCGATGTTTAAAATAATTTTACTGTTTTTTTTTTCTGGATTATTTTCCAGGCTATTTCTTATATTCGCCTGTGATGACTCTCACCTGAAAGTGTATTAAGTCCAGTCATTAAAGAGCCGATCCAGCCAATCACAGCCAGATCAGCGGAGGTGGTCTTGACCAGTTCACTGTGGATTATCCCGGTCGCTCCCTGTATCCCTATATGAATTACGAAGGTAGAAAACACTGCGGCTACCACTACCCACCCATACCCACCCTCTGGTCGATTTCCTTCCGGTGACATCATACGGCAGAATGTATCCATGTTATTGCATAACATTATCACACCTAAAAATAAACAAGACACTAGTTATTTCAACCCCTATATTGAGGAATATGGCTCGGAAAAAGGACACAACAATCCAGAAAATACATTTATTCCATATTTTCCCCTAAAATTTCAAATTAAAATACCTCAACAGGAGAACATAAGATTGATCCTCATGGCTTTGGTCTACATCAAAAAATATTTTGAAAGATAAAAACTAGATTCTGCCCTTTGTAGATACTAGTACACAGGGAGTTCATATACCACAAAGCCCATTCCTTGTCTTCCTGTAATGTGATCAATGTTTGAAGCACTACTGTTAATACACTGTACTTTAATGAGAGGTAAAGGAAAGGCTTGGTAGAACATTTACTGGAACCCGCAAAACATATGAAACTTTTAATACATTAACACAATGCTGCAATACAGCAGTTATCATATGACTCAATTACTAACGATATAGTTTATATTTGCTAACAATATGAAATTTCTTAACAATCACATCAGACAAAATACCTTATGTGAATTTAACCAAGTCCTTGAAGGATAAAGAAGAGTATATGTGTACAAGACCAATGATATATATACATGTATTACACATTGATTCTTGATCTTGGAAGGTTTTTCAACATGGTAAAAATGCATGATGTATTAATGCAACATATTTTGCATTTGACATGTTTCACTTTCTTTCTGCACGCTGAGTGCCTCAAGTAAAAATTTCAAAAATGTTTTACAAAATATCAGCGTTATAAATGTACGTTTCTACTCAATTGATGTTTTATATAGTATATTTAAGTTTTTATTGCTGTTTGTAGTCTTTTAAATGGCTTTTGTCTGAGTGAATATTGATATCAGTGAAATATGAAGATAACAAACAGTATTCAAGCTCAAAGTCCATTTAAACAATACAAATCGGAAGCAGAGCAAACACGGACCTCCAAAAACATCAGAGAGGGGATCAGGTACCATGGAGGAGTGAACAATCCCTGCCGACCAGTCACACCCGCTGTGGGCTCCTTGTCATGATTGGGAAAAAACGGAAAAATCCGTATACATCTTAGTGTGTAAATAATGACCTAATTAGTATGAAGAACGTCAGTCAGCATTCGACTTAATGATAGGTTATATTTGCTCATGGTCATTGTATCCACCATAAAAACCTGATGAAATGATGACTTTAAACGAGACTGTTGATATCCTTGTTTCATCAACTTGTTTGTAAATAGCTTGTCTCGTTTTAGAAATTGTTCATACGTAGAGCTTCATCTTGCGTATCGAACTGGGAGACAAAAACCCCACATGCAGGTGATAAGGATATATTGCTACATAAGAAAGGGAAGCTGACGATTGGAAAATTGAAGTCATTACGTTTATCATAAAGCTTTGTAATTAGGTTACCATTAAAGTCTTTTCTAATAAAAAAAAATCCAAATATGAAACAGATGTGTCAGACTCTGTGGTATCTTTTATTTCAAGCTCATTGGGGTATATCGAGTCGACATATGGATGCAAGTAACTATTGTTCTTGATAATACGTCGTCGATAAATCTAAATGTCTAGTTGAAGCTTAAAGCCAAACCACTGTGTTTCCTTCTTTTCATGTAGAAGTTTTTGAATAAATTCTGCTTCATATGAAAACAAGAATAGATCTGCTAATAAGGGGACGCAATTGGTACCTATGGGAATTCCAACAGATTGGTGGGAGATATGATCTCCAAGTACTACATGTATGTTGTCAAAGAAGAAGGACGAAATAATGAATTCAAGTTCAAGTTCAAGTTCAATTTATTCACCCAAACCAAAATATTAGTACATGGGGTTCATGAATAACATATATACATTATATACAATCTGGTCAGAGGTACATATACAAAACAAAAAACATGACAGATGATTGAAAAAGAAAATAAATAAATAAGAGAGGGGAAACTATATCAAGGAGGACAGACAGCATCATAATTTTTTAAGATAAACATACATAGTTTTTTTCAGGATTTTTTCGTTTTTGGTTGACATTAGTTCCATGAATTTAATAACATTAGGTCTGTGGGGATAATAATTGCCCAGGTAATTTTTTCTTACATAAGCTAAGTTTTACATTCTAAGATATAATGAAATTCATCAGCAGTTTGAGTATTATTACAAAGTTCCATATTCTATCACACAGTGGTATACCATACCATCTTCCAATCTCTACTGGCAGATAATGATTTGCAGTTCGAAATTTTATAAATATTTTTTCTAAATTTAGGAAATAACTTATCAATATAATGTTCAGATCCAAAGTTTTGTTTAAAGATTCTGTAAATCTGTCCTTTTGAAGAATTATTTACGTCACTCTAGACCACTTTTGAATAAATTGATCTTGTAATATTTGTTTTACAGTAGCAGTTATCCATTTATAATTCATATTGACACCCTGTTCGTACCATATATTTGATTAACCACACATATTACATATTTTCTGTATACAATCGGGTTTGTTAAGTTTCCATCACTTTAATCATATGTTTGTATAAAACATTTACAATTTTATTTGGCAGGCTTGAAAAAAAGCTTTGCCCAATATGAAATCATTCTACAATATACCGAAATATACAGAGGAAAGCGACCTGTTTCACCATAGACCATGTACGATGGCGTGGAACTTTTCAAATTAAATACATACTTTATAAACTTCAAGTTCAAACGCTCAATAATACATGTGTATCAAGATTTTCATAGCTCTATATTTCAGAGCCATATACATGTAGTAAGACCGGAACTACAACTCTATCAAAAAGGTCAAATTGACAGTCTACTGGTAATTGAAATTGTCTAATTTTTCTTATAATGCCATACATCGCTTTTGTTGCTTGTTCATATAAGTGTTTTTTTTTGTTTTACAAAAGGAACCTGTGCGTGAAAAAACAACGCCTAAATATTTAAACTCTCTAACATTTTCAATAACTAAGTTGTCGTAATAAAATTTTCTTTTTAACATAGGACCCTGTGAAAATACTAGAATCTTCGTTTTTTTTTCGACATTCACTTTCAACTTCCATTGTAAACAATATGTCTGAAATTATTGATTGCATGTTGTAATTCATCGGCTGATTCAGCCATAATAACAGTGTCATCCGCATAAAAGAGAATCAACAATTTAAAATACATTAGTTATTCGCTCTCAATGCTTCTTGAAATACTTTGTAAACCTGCAATATTCTTGTTCAGTAAAAAATCTTCAAGATCATTAATATACATTGAAATTAAAAAAGGTGAAAGATTTTCTCGCTGCCTTACTCCTACATTACAACTAAAAAATTCTGTGGACATGCCATTTATTTTCACCATAGATTTAACACCTTTGTACATATTTTGAATGTATTGAAAACATTTACCATTTATTCCGAACAAAGAAAGTTTGTAGTAACGCAAAAACAGCCAAAACAGCCAAATCATTGGCAAAATTGACCAAACTTAAACCACGTTATTCAATATTCACTTACTCGACTTCTTTACTTCTTTACTCAAGGAAGCACTAAGCTGTGTAATATCTAAAATGACATTTAATAATTAAAACATTTAAAATGTGCCTATTATAGATAATTGTATGTTGAGGATAGTGAAGATGTGCAAATATGAAAAGGTACAGGGAAAATGATTCGTCAAAAATTGCCAATTATTTGAGGGATTTTCTCCAATTTAAATGGTATTGTCTTATGACGGGAATAAAACCGTGTTGTGAGGAAAAAATAGTTTTATTAAAAGGAACTAAAACTTGCAAAGGTAAGACACGTACATGTACAAGACAACGTGGATCCTGGAAAGTATAGACAAAATTCTATCTTCCCCACACATTGTCAAATTGGAAAATTATACATCAAGGACTCAGAAATTTGGAGTCTTTCAAAGGAAGAAAAATTATAGACATGTAACTTCAATTTAAATTTTTGTTCTACAAATTCATTTCTTTTATATTCAGTTAGACAAATAATATTAAGATGACGGAAATCAGAACTCATCATTGAACTCATCAGAAAGATGTGTGTTGAATTAATTAATCTGCATGTAAAAATGTACTTTGTTCAATTCTTTAATTGGCGTGCAGAATTGTGAATATCCTATCAAAACTATTACATATGTGAAAGTTAATCATGTTTTAATGAATACATGATGCCTTGTCTTCATACACATACATGTATGTAGCACGTGATGAATAATATTTAAGAGTATTTTTACATATATTGGGTTACCAAAAAAGGAAAAAGGAATAATGAAAGGAAACAGGTACTATGATATTTTTTTTAAAAAAAGAAAGAAATTGACGTCTGCAATTAACAAACAATTCTCCGATTAATGAACTTGATTAATTATCTATTGTAGACATAATGACCAATTTATTTTTAAATAAATCTATTTCCTCTTCACAAAATACTTTTATATCCGACATAAGACAATACTGTATAAAAAGTTTTGTCTTTAGAAAAGGGAAAAATGATATTATCGGACAATTTGTGAGAAATCATTTCCTCTACACTATTTCAGATTTTTATCCTCAGTATCCGTCTAATCACGGTTTTCGGAGTATAAGTATTTATATTAAGCACATTTAAAATGTTTCAGTTACTAGGTGTTCCTCTCAAAGATTATACAGCTTTGAGCTTTCTTTGGCTTTTTAAATATAACTTTACTTTGATCAGTATTTTAACTACAATACAGTAAAATTTGAAAGAAAAGAAAATCAGGTAAGTATCTCTATTCCTTTTCAATTCTGGAATATTCTTAGTAAGTTCTCCAACAAAATTAACCAAAAAATCTTATATTCAAAGAAATAATGCTGAAATAAATAAAAGAAACAAATACTCCAGGGACTTTTCAAAATTGTCTTTGCAAAAGTTATTCTTGGTTTAAGCAAGAGTAAGGGAGAGGAAGGTGCTTTCAAGCCTACAAATGTTCCATTTTATAGCTTTTTTTTCAGGTATCTATGTTAAAATTTTGGTCGGAATTTACTT